AAGTCCTATGCTTATATATATATATTTATTATTATTATTATTATTATTATTATTATTATTTTCATTACAGAAAGTTCAAAACTTTTGATCGAAAAAGAAAATTGGAGGAACTTGAATTTGTTGGCTGAAAGTCAAAGTTGAAAACCTTGATAATTTCAAATATATACTTTAATCAAATAGCCCATTCCACTGCCTCAAAATTAGACCCACGATTTAACTGAAGAGAGGGAATCCAAAATCTTACACCCAACTGTCCAGAACCGAATTTAGCCACAGTGCAGTCGGCATTCACGTATTTAAACAAACTAAACAAAACTAGGAAGAAACTAAACTAATTTCTAGAAAAAATTCTAAAACCAAATCCGAAAATACAGAAAATATGAAGGATTCAGATCTTAGCATGTTGGCTCTGATACTAATTATTGAATTTAATTATAATCATACTAAAAATTAAGAATCACATAATTATAAATTGATGGCTCGAATTCATACATGCGGAAGCTATAATTGATATGAATAATAGTAGCTAAATCTCCCCCTCCTTACTCATCACAAAAGTGTTGATCATCATTGGGTCAAGCCAATAAACCATATGGAGAGGAGAGGAGACCTAGCCTTTATATAAGAATTTATTTAGTCGTCCCATTATCGACTTAAACCCTAATTTCCATAATTCCAGTCCACATACTCGAAATTACCACATTATTTCAAATAAAGCCCGTAAGGTGTAAAACGGCCCAATTTGATCACTTAACATAATTGGCTTAATCATAATGTCATTTTGAGTCATACATCTGACCCGTAAAATTTACAATCGAATGTGAAGCCCATATTTGGAATTATTCCAACATTTTTGCCATGTATAACTTGTTGCTGGTAATTAACTGTGTCTTTTGACTTGAATTTAGGAAGATTAATGACCTATTTGCAGGGTACAATTATTACAGAAAATAAGATGTGTGCGCACTTTGTTGCAATATTGTGCTTGGTAATAGGCATTTTTACCATTTATTGCTGTGATATAATTGGTCGATATGCTGAATTTTCTCTTGTTTTTCTTCCTTTTAATTTATTGGAATTTCAATTCTTTTGTTCAATGTGCTTTGATATAATTCTCTTTGTACGTTGTTAATCTCATTTTGAACAGGAATTAGATTGTGAGATGCATCAATTGTGCAGCTTCTGGCAGCTTTCTCAATTGAATTGGAAAATTCACCAGTGCATGTACCTTTTTTTTTTTAAGGTCGCTATTGCGAGAATTATGTTCCTTTCTCTTTGGTCCGGTAATGTTTCGTATTATATATATATGGCCGTGGCAGAAATATTATAACTGTATCTTGCTCTTTAGCTTTAACTGATGACAGAGGAATTATCACTTCTCCATGGTTTCAGTTGTAAACTAAATATGATCTGTCTAATGTTCATGACATGGATGATCTTATTCAATTGATGGTCGTGGAGTGCTTGGAGAAAAATGCTGAAACAATTTCATTTCTCTCAAGGCCAGGGCGATCTTACTTTCTTTTATTCACTGGTAAGACATTGATTTCTGATCAGTTTCTCTCTTATTATCTAGTCCAAGAAAATTTAACTCACCTCTATGAAGAAGTATAAGTTAGTTTAAACGGTTCTACCCGTGTTTCGTGGCATCGATGGTCTATTTACCCAATTATTCGTATTCTCACTTGCTAAGAATAAATGATATGTGAAGATGTTAAAAATGTGTTATGATGACGGAATGAATTAATCGAATTGTGCAAGAAGGGAAATCAAAACCATATGCACGAGCAGGGGCGGAGTCAGGAACATTGTTCAGTGCGGGCACAATTTAATTAATATCAAACTTTGAGCTTTTGGCTATGGATTTAATAATGATAAAAATATAAAATAATATTACAATAATACTAAAAATGATATAGTTTATAAATTATACTTCTTCCTTGTGAGTTTTCATACTTTATTATCATTGTACAATAAGGCCCCATTTGATAGCCTTGGAATTCCAATGAAAATGGAATTTAAATTCCATTTTTCCAATTTTGTGATGTTTGATTGGCAAAATTTGGAATGGAATTGATTTTCCATCTTTTATGGCCACACTAGCCAATTCCACCAAATGGTGGAATTGAAATACCAACAAAAATGATGGGAATTTCAATTCCTTTTTTTTTTCTTTTTTTTTTTGGCAATTTAAACAAATTCTAAGATTTATTATAATAAATTCTATCCCTTTAAGTGACAATTTTAATGTAAAATAAAGTCAAACGAATACCAAAAGATAGATGAAATTTGGTTTTCTTAGCTTTTTTTTTTTTTTTTGCAATGGAAACAAATTATATCCCCGATACCAGTAAATTTTATCCCTTTAATTGATAATTTTCATATAATATCAAAAAATACTTTTATTTCAACATTTTTCACATGAAAAATTATACCAATCAAACACAATAAATTGACAATTTTTAGGAAAATAATTTTCAAGCAATTCAATTCCCTGGAATTCGTTTTCTTTCCACCCAAATTTCATCTTTGCAATCAAACGGACCATAACTTCAAGTTAACTAGATAGTAATGCCGATGCGCAGTAATAAGTAAAAAGAATCCCTTTTTAGAACTCCCGTCACTCCTATTGAAAATTCCTCATAGAATAGCACCATTTATTTACTTCAACTTCAATTTATTAGTTGGTTTAGCAGGATGGCAGTTTAGAATAATGTCACCTCTCTGGATTTGGGAATTGTGTTAGGTGAGTGACAATTTTTTTGTAATGAGCCCAAAGTTCAGTGTAGGCATATCTCTATTGGGCTCCGCCCCTATGCACGAGCATGTTGTTAAATAGCTCAAACTTTAATGCCGTTGGTTTTTAAATAAGATAAGACACATCCATAATGTACTCCTTATTTTCTTGAGCCTTATACTTTTGCGAAATCAAGTTTGCTAGAAGCATACTAATTTTGACCTTATCGTCATTTTGCATAGTATTTTGGAATATTTCTTTAAGAAATTTCTTAGCAGTTACCTTATTGAACAGAGTGCCCCTGAATGTTGCTAGAATTTTATGCTTCGTGATTAAAAGACTTGTGCAGTTTGAACGATTTATTAGAGGAACCCTTATTCGTAAGAGTAGTGAAAATGTTTAGTCCTTAACGCAGTGTCTAAATCCATGCTGCTAAGAATGATACAAAAGTTCCCTTAAACTTTGGTTACAGGAATTTAATTGATGTTGGCTGATATTGTAGAAGTAGATGAATTAACCGAATAAAGAACCTAAACCTAAACAACATATTCACATGAAAAATTGTATTGGACAATCAATAATTCAAATAGCGTGTAGACTCCATAACAAGAGACCGAGCATAACATTGGTATTTAGTCTTTGGACAGAAATATCAACTTATAAGTGGTAATCTTTGTGCAGTAATCAAATATTGACAATAAATTTGATCAAATATCGAGTCTGTCTTTGGATCGATTCAATGTTCACATCATGAAAAACCTTATAATTGTCACATATTTATTACTTATAGGCATTCAAATAAATTTGCCAAATATTGATGTTTCTCTGAGCCGGTGAATATCCCCATTAATTATGTACTCACACCATTTCTAATATTTCAAATAAATTAATTTAGGCAAAAGATATTATTTTGGTAACATATTGCTTCAATTAATCTATTTTAGAAAATTAGTAATAAAAAAAATTAAATACAAGATTTGAAATTGATTGCCTCTTTATATATTTTTCATTTTTCTCTTTTGTGGCCAAAAGAAAGAAAAAAATTACTCTAAAAATCGATTGGGCACCATAGCGCTCTCTGTCGAGAGGCACGCCCAGGCGGCACTGGTCGCATTGCTTCATGGCAGACGCCGTGCACCTCAAGGCTAGGATGTGGTGCCTGTTTCGAACCAAAAATTTCAAGAAAACCCCGAAAATCTGAATTTTGAATTTTAGAGCTAAAAGTTATATCATAAATTGGAAAATCCAAATTATAACTTTTAACCCTAAAATTCTATTTTGAAAAATTCTGAATTTCAAAATTATGGCTAAAATTCATATTCCAAATTAAAATATTCTAAAACTCAATATATGAATTTCAACCACAAAATTCTTCCTTTAATCCTAATGGTTTAATATGGAGTTGATTTTGATACCACTTATTGAAATTTTATGTAACTTTAAATCTTAAGAAACGTGAAAACCTAATTACTTTATTACCAAAATCCTCAATGCCAAATCACCAAGAAAATTAATAATGCGGAACATACATTTATTCCTTGAGAATGCTTTATTATTGGATTTTGATCTCAAATCTTGAATTTTGAAAATCAACTTGGAATCCCTTCTTGATTGGTTTCTTGTTTTCGATCTTGAATTTTGCCTCCTTAGATTCTTTATTCCTATTCTTGATTTTGCTTCTTGTTCCATAATCTTGATTCTTGATTGTGAGTATTGGATCTTCCTATTCAAAATTCTTTCTTTTGTATTCTTGTATTGATGGGGTGACACGAAAAATGACAAATTATATATGAATTAGAGATCATAATCCTATATATAGTTTTCATATATAATTTACCCATCATAAAATATAATTCTAAAAGAATTCGATTTCGACACATATAATTTGATCTACACTTTATTTAAATGCCTTAAATCCAATTATTTAATTCTTTACTAGATCATTTTAATTTTGAGCTTAACTTTAAAATATTCTTTATACATAATTAATTGCATACGTGGACTCACGTGACAAATTAAATAATTTGTCAACATCTCGTACATATCCCCGAGAGGGTACATATCCTCGAAAGGATGAGAATGATTATCTGTTCTTTTGTTTTGACAATAAATGATGTGATTATTTTAGACAAAAAGATTTGGGCCTGACTCGTGGCATCCATGCACATAGATGTATCCATTTTGCCATGCAAAAAGACGGCACAAAGAAGCCACGTAGAAAATAAGCCAAAGTCCAACTAAACAAAATAAAAGCTAAGGGTGTCGGGCATAGAACAGGAAAGGAAGAGATGGAGACTGGCAACGGTGGTGAAACGGTGGAGCAGCAGCCGATAGCGGTGGAGACGGGCAAACGTGGTCTGATGGCGGGGCAAGAGCCGGAGGGGAAGAAGATGATGAATATAATGGTGGCTATTGATGATAGCCACGAGAGTTTCTACGCACTTGAATGGGTTCTTGATAAGTTGTTGAAGTACAGTGGTGGCGCCGCTCCTCAGACGGCGGAGGAGCAGGAGCACTCCAAGGTGGTCACCATGGTCCATGTCATAGAGCCCCTGCCTCGCCATGCCTTCCCTAGTGGTGGATATGGTTCGTTTCTCATTAAAAGTTTCGAAATAATTAATTTAATTAACAATATTTTAATTCATAGTACTGTTTCATATCATAGTCGTGACAAGTTTGAATTTCAGTGGTGGAATCTGCAAGTAAAACCCAAGAGCAAAATGGTGCAAGAATACTCTCTCGTGCATTTGACATGTGCAGGGACAAAATGGTAAGTTCACTTCAATTTTCTTGTTTATTAACATGAAGAATTTAGGATAAACACACCTTAAACCATGATTAGTACGCGAAATTGAATGTGACTAGATAATTTGCACAAATTGAGTTGACAAGACCCGACCCGCATTTCTTAATAACCTGAGTTAGAGTGTTTACGTTGTGACACTTATATAAACGACTAAAACGAGTATTTTAAGGTTGTTTTTTATAATTGACATAGGTGATAGCTAAAACTCTTATTCTTGAGGGAGATCCAAAGGACAGGATTTGTCGGGCCATAGATGAAGTGAACATTGATCTTCTTGTGGTTGGTAGCAGAGGACTTGGCCAGATCAAGAGGTAATGATCATTGATCTCTTCTTACAATTTGATTTACCTATATGAATATAAATGTCATTTCTAACCTTCCAAATGCTATGTTACGAGTTACAAATTTGATTTTTGGTTTTTGTTGCAGGGCTTTTTTGGGAAGTGTTAGCGATTATTGTGCTCATCATGCAAAATGTGCTGTCCTTGTTGTGAAACCGACCAAGAAACACGATTGATGGTAAGAAAGAATCGAAGTAATAATAATTTAGAATCAAGAAATCGTAGAACGAAAGTCCTATGAGTGAAGTAATACAAGTGAAATAATATCATTATATATGTATGCTCTCATAATCAAGATCGTATGTATGTGTTGTAATAAAGATGAACTTGTTGAACTTTATGTAAATTGACAATATGGGTGATGTTTAGCTCGATTTCTGGTTATTATTCCATGCTCATGGTAATAAGATAGCAAATTAAATCTTGTTTTTAGAAATTTAAAGTTTACTTACTTTTATTCATGATATGAGTTTCTTAAATGATGGCGATTGAATATCATGAAAAATTTAGTGTATGTGTATCACTGTAGATCGATTGATTTTCGGATGAAATGGTTGAAACTTATTCTAACAAGTGGTATCACTGTTAGGATAATTCGAGTAACAAGAGTCTCATGTTGAGAAGTGATTGTTCGAATTCAACGAGACCACTTTTAAATCCATAAATTAGATCACTCAAATGATTGTGATCAAATTCAAACAAAAGGTTTAGCCTGCGACGTGAGCGCATAACATGACTGAAACTTGATCTTGACAAGGGTAATTATCACAAAATATTCTTACATTTTAATATTATTGTGCAAAACATCATTACATTTCATTTTTTGGCACTTTTACCCCTACCTTCATCTTTTATTGTGAAAATCATCATTTTCATCAAATTTTTCCGTGTAAAATGACAAATATACACCCTATTTAAATAAAATCATAAAAAAGAAAAAGAAAAATAAAAGAATAAATTGCAATCATACTCTCAAAATTTTTTAAAAAGTGCAAATAAATCCAAATAAAATTTTAAAAGGGTAATTAGCATAAGTATAGTTACTATTTGTTCTTCATTTTTTTATTTTTTTTGTTTATTTAAAGAGGAGTGTATGTTTGTCATTTTACAATTTTTAATTGAAAAATGGATGAAAATAAAGATTTTCGCAATGAAATATGAAATAAGGTTGAAAATGTCAAAAAATGAAAAATATGGACGTTTTGCAAAATAATAATGAAAGATAGAGATATTTTGTACTAATTACACTTTTAATAATTTATTTGAACTCATTTGCATTCTTTAAAAAAGTCTGGGGGTATGATTTCAATTTATTCTTTTGACTTTTCTTTTCTTTTCAATTGTTTTATTTAACTAGATGGTATATTTGTCATTTTACACGAAAATTGATAAAAATGATAATTTTCGTAATAAAAGGTGAAGGTAAGGATAAAAATGTCAAAAAATGAAAGGTATAAACGTTTTGCACAATAATATTGAAAGATAAAGACGTTTTGTGCTAATTACCCATTCTAACAAATTCAAATGACTTGAATCATAGAGAGAGTTAAAGAGACGAACTTGGTTGATACTCAAACCTAATTAGAAGTTTTAATAATTTGAAATTCTTTGCTAGACGCACAAGCTCTAAACTAATTTGTATGCTCTTGCAAAATAAAACGATCAACGCTACTGAACTCGAAGATTGAAATTTAATGAATGATCATTCAACTTTACTATAGGTACATGTTCACTGATTTTCAAAAAATTACTCATTACTCACTCAACTTCGTTTTAAGTTACTATTTGTTATATGTCAATATTTACTCACCAAAATTTAAAAGGTTACTCATTGCCTATCTAAATTTAAATAAAGTTACTTGTTGCTCATTAAATTTTGTAATAGATAACATTCATGAAAATGATATGGATGACTGATGAGTAACTTTGTTCAAATTTTGGTAAACAATAAATAACCTTTTAAATTTCAGTTAGCAAATAGTAACATATAGCAAAGTTCAGTGAGTAAAGATAAACTTTTTAAATTTTGGTGAGTAAGTAGTAACTTATAATAAAGTTCAATGACCATTGATTAAATTAACTCTTAGACAACATAATCTATGCCCTTGGTTGAGCCCCATTTTAGGGAGTGGGGGGGGGGGAATGCATTTTGAATAGTAGATTGATGGAGAATGTGTGGTTAAAAGTTAAGGAAAGGTTTTGGGTTTGCGTGTAATATTATTTTACTGAAAAATGTGAGGTAAAAAATGAGTTTTTAGAAGAATGGTGCTCAAACAAGTCTCGTCTAGTTATCCTCTTAGCTGGCTTCCTAATTTAAGTCTCAATTCGATGATAATTAAAATTAGATTTTTAATAGATTTTAATAGAAATTGATGAAATGTGTTGTTAAAAAATTGTGAGACATATAAAAATATGTGTTTGAAATGAATTGTTGACTTTGACTTTGACTTTACCTTAGATTAAAATCTAAATTTTAATTGGTACCAAACAAAAGGATAAAAGTTAAACGCACCACAAAATCAAATCTTACTAGAAAATAAAAAAGTGGAAAAATAGACAAAGTTTTCCCGATCTTTTCAATAGTCGGACGTAGAGATGACAATTTGGCTAGCCAGCTTGAGTCGCTTGTGGCCCGACCTAAAAAAAGCTCGAGCCCCTCTAGTTTGATGCTCAGGTCAAGCCCTTTCTGGGGGCATCGAGCCGACCCTGAATCTGCTCGGCTTAAAAGAAAAAAGGCCACTGTAGAAAGGTTGCGCTACCCTTTTTCAGAATTGTGTCTTGCCTATTTAGGCAGCATGCACAGGTGCCGTTAAATAGGCAGTTATGTGCTGCATTAAAAAAAAATCGAGTTGGCTTGGTAAGGCACGAGCTGAAAGTTAGGTTCGAGCCTCAATCTTTTGGTCGAGCTTTTGTTTGGCTCGGCCTAGGCCAAAAAAAGCTCGACTTAATTTTAATCGAGCTGAGCCTGAGTTAAAAGTTTTGACTCGACTCGTTGATATCCTTAGTCGGACGTAAGATATCAGAATTTTACCAAAAAGACATTAAGAATATAGCTAAATTACGACCCCACGTGTTATCTCGAGCCAGGGCAAACATTTCCAATTCTTTCTTTCCTTCTATTTTTTCCTTCTCAAAACCTCACAGCCAAAATGTAAACAAGTTATTGGTTTCACCGTTTCATTATATAACAGTCGATTCATTGATTCCTCGTATATAATTGACTTATCGTTTCAACTTTGGACATGATTCTTAAGGCGTGTTTGAACTCCTTTAATTTTGAAAAAATGTATTATGGAATAATAAATTGGTGGAAATATGTCGTTAAAAAAGAACGAAATTTTTTTTATTTGCGTGATATTATTTTAATGAAAAATGTGTGGTTAAAAATGAGTATTGTAAAAAAAAAATAATGTGGTAAAATGTGAAATAATGAGTGACAAACAAAAACTTAGTCAAATTCAAAACATAATCATGCAAGATAAGAAATAGATACATATTTGATTAGTTACGTGTAATGAAACCAATTTAGCATAAAATAACACTTCATTGCTTTCATGTGTAATTTTTTTTTTTAAATGTGTAAAAACATTTTTTATGTGTATTTTTTAAATATTAGCTCAATTTTTTTTTCTGGTCCAATGTTAAATTCGTTTTTAGTTACAAGAAGTGCTTCTTCGCTTGCTTGCTGCACCTCGACTCGAGAGTCAAATTAAAACTCAAATTCAAAAAATTACCGTTCAAGAAAAGAAATAAACACATCTTGATTTGTAACAATGAATCAATATTTGATTAAATATAATATTATTTATTAGCATTATCAAATGGCGTGACACTAAAAATGAATTAAAGAATATTAACATTAAAGAAGAAAAGTAAATTAAAATATACTCTATTATATTATCCGCACGTAATATATTGCGCTTGAGCGTATCGAAATGAATATGAAATCAATGAAGAAGTAAATATGAAATCAGTGAATATACTTATTTTTCTCTATTATTTATCAGTATAATTATATCCTATGTACTAGAAAATTCTAGAAGTCCGAGAAATAGCAAAAAGAAAACAATAAAGAGAAAAGTAAACGTGAAATGTCAATAAATTATTAGAAAAGTGAAGTACAGGGAATTTTCTGCACTCAATTTAAATGTCTCCACTTCTTATTGGCTATTAAGAAGAGAAATTTGCACCATTGACCCTTGTATCACTGAACCAGTTGCAAACTGGTATTGAATGTTCCATTAAAGTTGTAAACTTTTATTATACTGTCAACTTATAGTCACGAGAGTCCGGTTATTATCTACAATGTACCAAATAAGACAAAAACTCACATTCGATGATGTGTGAGATTTCAACCATTTCAAATATCGTTAAATTGGACAGACATTGCTTCCACTTATTTTTTTTTTTTATATGAAGCGATCTTTGCTTGGCTTAGTTTAACCTGGATCTCTAGAATTCAATTCATCAATAGCACAACCTTTATACATGATCAAATAAGATTTTTGAAATTAGTTTGCAATTGATTTTTATTATAGATAGGTAGAAATGAACGAAGGATAAATAAGTAGTACTTGTAAATTTCACGAAATATATGAATAAAATTTATTTGATCAATTATGAACAATTTATAAACATTAGTCAAACATGAGATTCTTTTGCACAAAAGCGAGAATTTAACTTTTTGGGTCAATCCGAAAAAAAGCAATAGATTGGGACCAACGAGGCAATTTCAAATCGAGAAACTCTTCTAGCCTCGACTACAATCTCACGCTACTCTCCTCGCTGTTTTCAATTATCTATTTTACCCTTAACATTCTAAAAAATCCCCAACATATCCCCTCCCCCATCGAGAGACCAAAACTCAGAAAGCCCAAGCCGTTCTCTCTCTAACTCACTTCTTTCTCTCTCTTCCCTTTCATTTCCTCTCTGATATTATATTGATCACTGTGTAGTTTATTGATCGACGGCTCTGATTTCTCCAGCCATGACGATGCTGACTCCTCGACCTTTGGATGTAATTCTTCCCCCTTTATTGCACGCATTTTCCCAATTATGCACTTTTAGATTTGTCTATATTTATATATTCATGCATGTACCAATCTGTTTTAATTCATTGTTTGAATTTTTGCCTCTGCGGTATATAAAGAATTAAAATTTATATGAACGTGCACCGAGGCTTGTTGATCGTGGACTAGGGTTTTTAGTGATATAATGGAAAGTTTAAGTTGCTGAATTGAATTTCTTTTTCCATTTGAAGTCGTGTTAATTTACATGGGTGAAGAAATTGTGGTTTTTAATTTGGGAGAAAATGCTAGAGTTTTTACTGGATCAAGCTTAAGTTTCTGTTTAATTTTTTGCTGGGATTTTAGCGACAAGAAGACGAAGAGATGCTGGTGCCACACGCGGATTTTGTAGAAGGCCCTCAGCCTTTAGTAGAAGGACCTCAGCCTTTAGTAGAAGGTCCTCAGCCTATGGAAGGTCTGTGTTTTTCTTGGGCTAGTTTATTTATGTATTTATTTTTTGTATATGTATCTTAAATATATCTGCATATGCATTTCGCATACTATCGAAATTAATTGGTTCTTAATGTTTTGGGCTCCATTTGGCATATGATTATTTCAGTTGTAGATATTTTATTTTATTTTTTTGTATATTGGTTGCTAGATTCTGAAGGTTTTGTTCTATATGGATTGGGTTTCAAACTTGTTTTTGATTTTGTAGTAGCGCCAGTGGACGGTGCTGGGACAGTGGACAACCAGGCCAGTGAAGAGCCACAAGCATCACGGTTCACATGGGCAATTGAGAATTTTTCTCGCTTAAATGTCAAGAAGCTATATTCGGATGTCTTTACAGTTGGTGGTTATAAATGGTAATGTAAAGCTGTAAAGTTGGTTCCCTTTTCTTATCTACATTGACTCGTGTGGTTAAAGGAATTAACCATGTTAGTTTGAAATTAAGAGAGAACCTTTTTATTGTTACCTTATGTTACAAAAAAAAAAATTAATAAAAAAAAATAAATAAAAATTCTGGTATATGTTGCTTTACCGTCTTGAAGAGTATGACCTAATTGCATTTTGGCTTTTGTTGGTTTGCACAGGCGGGTGCTTATTTTTCCCAAAGGAAACAATGTGGACTATTTGTCTATGTATTTAGATGTGGCAGATTCAGCTACCTTGCCACATGGGTGGAATAGATATGCACAGTTTAGCTTGGCCGTAGTTAATCAAATACATAACAAATACACAATAAGAAAAGGTATCTCCTGGAACTATTCCCATTTCTAATTCTTTTGGGTAGCTAAACTAAAACTTGATCTTGAAATAACTAGTATGTCATTTAACATTTTCCTTAAACACCCCCTGCTTCTCTATGCAGCTAAATATTGTGTATTCATTTTCAAATTATTTGCTATATGAGATTTTATTTTCTTTATTTTTAATGTTGTGATTTTCCCATTTCAGTGCAGTCTATGCTTTGGTGTTTTATTTTTGATTTTGCTATGCCGATGAAAGATTTATTTATTTATTTATTTTTTCCTTCAAATAAAAGCTCTGAAAGATAAAACTGAGGGTTTGTTTGAGCCCCTTTTTTTTGGAAAAATAGATTTTGTAATAGTGGTTTTTTTGGATAATGCATGGTTAAAAGTAGAAAAAAGTTTTGAGTTTACGTGTAAAATTATTTTATTGGGAGAATGTGTGGTTTTAAATGAGTTTTCAAAGAATGGGGCTAAATATGATGCTGCTCTACAGCAAGGTTGGGTGTTAAAGCTTGTTCATCGGTTTAGGAAAATGTTGTTTCCTGCATCGTGCAAAATATCTTGATATATTTGGATTTCTGAAGTTGAGAGAATATTAAATGTCAATAAAGTCTTTTTTAAGATCTTGATACTGCAAACTGCTATCCTTTGTGTACTTCGAATCGCCACAAGTGGGAAAAATTTGGAGCTGTTTTTGTTTGTTGCCTATTATGAGCTGAATTTCGGAAAGTAGGAGTTATTAGCACTCGGATGAGAAGTGTATTTAGACATTGATCATAAACCCATCTTCTGTTGAGTCTTATGGAGGAATGAGGACATTGTCAACATGCAGATTCTTCTTGATCCATTTAGTTCATAAGATTTAAATCATTCTATGGTTGTAAGAAAAGATAACAAATGAATCCGAGTCACGTTGATGAATATTTTTATTTTACCTTGAGTTCATTATTATGAAAACCATACTAGGAGTATCAATATGAAAATCAAAATTCACAAAAGAAAAAATAATAAAAGATAAAAAAAAAAAAAAAGAATGCATAACTTGAAGTGTAATTTTTTTGAATACATGATGAAGAATCTGCTGCAGACTTACTAAAAAGGAGTTTAAATCTGAAGTTTGTAAAGTTTTCATGCTTAGTATTGTCATTTTGGCTTGATAAGCGGAGTTGAGATCACTGGTGTGGATTTTCCTTTTGATAGATGAACTTAAATAGTAAGTCATTGTACCTTACATTAAATATATTTTATAATTTCCCCAACTCTGATGAAGCACGCATCTAGTGTTTTGGATTGTGGTTATTGTAATATAATATTAACTTTGTATCTGGGATTCACAGACACACAGCACCAGTTCAGTCAAAGGGAGAGTGATTGGGGTTTTACATCTTTCATGCCCCTTGTTGAACTTTATGACCCCAGTAAGGGGTATCTTGTGAATGATACGTGTGTTGTTGAAGCTGATGTTGCTGTACGTAAGGTCACTGATTACTGGACATACGACTCAAAGAAGGAGACAGGTTATGTGGGACTTAAGAACCAAGGAGCAACTTGTTACATGAATTCTCTCCTGCAAACTTTGTATCATATTCCTTACTTCAGAAAGGTTACTATAGGCTCTCATGCTTTAGTTAATTCATGAATTGTTACGCCAATTTTTTTATGAGGGAAGATTGAAGAAGCCTTAATTTGGAATTTGTTATATCAGGCTGTGTATCATATGCCAACTACAGAGAACGATATGCCTTCAGGAAGCATTCCCTTGGCTCTACAGAGTTTGTTTTATAAGCTCCAATATCATGAAACCAGTGTGGCAACAAAAGAATTGACTAAATCATTTGGATGGGACACGTATGATTCCTTTATGCAGCATGATGTGCAAGAACTTAATAGAGTTTTGTGCGAAAAGCTCGAAGACAAGATGAAGGTATGGTGGTCAGACCAGAAGCTCCTTTTCTTTGAACTTTTTTTATTCTCAGATATAATTTTTTTAACTGGAACAGGGGACTGTTGTTGAAGGGACGATACAGAAACTGTTTGAAGGACACCATATGAATTACATTGAATGCATCAATGTAGATTTCAAATCTACAAGAAAAGAATCATTTTATGGTATTGGTCATTCCGAGGCTTGTCCTTCTTAATGTTGAAAGCATAATTAATATTAAATGTGAACTCGTGGCAGACCTTCAACTTGATGTCAAAGGCTGTAAGGATGTTTATGTTTCCTTCGACAAGTATGTGGAAGTTGAACGTCTTGAAGGAGATAACAAGTATCATGCTGAAGAGCATGGTTTGCAGGTATTGTGCTCTGTCATTAGATAATTGCGGGATTTATTAGCATTTCTATATGCACTTCTTTTGTTCTATGATAGCTATTTTCTTTGACTATGAGAGGATTATGAAGATTTGACTCTTGCGTTTATATTTTTCTCCTATGACATAAAGTACTAGAATTTAGCGTTTGAAACTTCATAATTAATATACCTTGGCAAATATAGAAAGAGCCTTACGGGACTGTATAAATTTTATTCGTGTATTAGTTCAATTCAATTTTCTTTTTCCCTCTTGAATATCAGTCTGGAGATTGATTATTCTATAAATGTCAGGATGCCAAGAAGGGTGTCTTGTTCATTGATTTCCCACCAGTTCTTCAGCTACAGCTAAAGCGCTTTGAATATGATTTTATGAGGGATACAATGGTTAAGGTTAGTTGCCAAAATTTAATGGTTGTCCATTTTTTTGCTCTATTGAGGTTGATCTTTGGTCATCTCATTGTTAATTATGTTTTCTTGGGTATATCTTGTTACATAAAGTTGGATATAGAGATACGAATTGTTCATTCCATCATTTATTTCTCCAACAATTTGGTTTTGATGATTTTCTTCAATTAGGATTTTAAGCTTTTTGTGAGTACTACTTATAATGGAAGGATGTTGGTTCCAGCAATGATTACGCCTATTTATTAGGAGAGAAAGAAGATAAGTGGATGGCTTTATGTAGCTGGTTTGACCCTTTTAAGGTGGACATGGCCCTAGAACTTATAATTATAAAAAACAAATCTCTTCCTCTACTGTTCTGCTGGAAAACTGTAGTTTAAGAATTTCTAGTGGGTACATGAGCATTAATTTCAATGATTGTTTTTCAGTGAGATTTTTCTTCGAGGTATATGCATCGTTAGATCCTGTATTGGATCTTTATATTTTTTCTATAGTGGCTGTCTAATGGTAACGTATTTTTGAGATTCCTGATGTGGGGAGGGGAGATAAAAATGTGTCAGTTTTATATAGCTTGAAATAGTTTTGCCACCTTTTCTGATTGATGATCTATATTGCTGACTATGACATACATATGACTCTGCTTGGGATGAATATACAATCTATTCATCTTTGAAAATCTATTGTGGTTTGTGGACTCTGTGTTCTTGGTTCTCTCTCTCTCTCTCTCTCTCTCTCTCTCTTTTGTCCTTGGATGGGGTGGCACTGAGGGAAATGGTGGGAGAGCACATTGCATTCCTTTGAAAATAATATTTATCTGTCAACATCTAACAATCTCTTGATTCAAGGATTGACTTTTTCCTTGGGATGGGAACTCCCCTTGAGGGGGGAAAAAATGAAGCAAAAAGAAGAAAAAAGAAAAAGAAAAAAGAAGAGGAGTTATCCTGATTATGTTTATGGATGTGGAGGGAGAGAAACAACCGCTATTTTGATGATTATTCAAGGACTATAGATCATATCAAAGAATCATTTTATTTGACCTTGTATAATTGGTTTAATGCTGCAGCTACTACTTGTATAGACGGGTTGCCCAACTTTATGTTGTTTCTTTCTTGTATAAATTGATAATACACTTCCTTTGTATTATCCGTGATTAATAAAATATTTGATCACTTATAAAAAAAAATTATGTTTATGGATGTTATAATGCTTTTAGAAGCCATATTCTGTTTCTCTCTTGGTGTATCCAGTGGCTATTATCTTCTTCACTACCATAAAACCCAGCTTTATAAAATGTGAACTCAGAAAAGTTAAGACTACTCCAGATACATGTTGCTGTGTAATAGTGTGTTTTACTTCTTTATTATTTTTTATACGATTTATCATGTGGTGGGGGACTATCCTCACAAGATGACCTCATGAGTATCTTATCTGGAAAACGCTAGTATTCTGGGGTGCTTTTGTTATGGATTGCCTTCTAATGGAACTTCAGGCAGATTTTTTAGCTATGCATTTGCAAGAAAGTACCATTTTACTTGATTCTTTTTTAGATAGAAATGTTACCCGAATGAATCTGTACAGCTTAATGGGCTGTGGATGTTTAATTTTAACTTACATATTTTTTATTCCTGTATTTGTTGTGATCGTATTACTTTATTTTGTTTTTGAAATCTTTGTGAGGTTGTATTTCGAAGAAAAAATAGACTTAGTGGCGCAGAAGTTAATATATTCGTTTCTGACTTCTTTTGAAAGCAAATTTTTTCTTTCTACATTTTACGAAGAAACATTATGTTTTCACTTATTTTTATGCCTTGTGAATTTAAATAAAACTTTTTGGTGTTGATTTGCATTCTTTATCTTCCCCTCAAATTTATATTTTTCGTGCAACCTAGAAAAATTGCTTCCATGCTGCAGATAAACGACCGTTATGAATTTCCCCTAGAACTTGACCTTGATAGAGACAACGGAAAATATTTGTCGCCGGAAGCAGATAGGAGTGTTCGCAACCTTTACATGCTCCATAGGTTGATCTCTTTCTATACATATCTATCTGTCAAATGTTTTGATCCCCCCCCCCCCCCC